GGCTTGTTTTTAATGTATTAATTTCAAGGTCAATGACAGAATCTTTATTATCGAATCCTTATTTATTAGTATACTACGTATTTTTCTGTCAGTTTGGAATTGTTCATAATTCTTCATCAGACAATTTTTTTTTAAAAAAAAATTCTTATGTACTACTGTTCAAGTTCATTGAAGGTCTTCTGGTTTTTATTTAGTCTGTAGAAGATAAGCACGTACAAAATAAAAACCACATTTTCTTATACCGCATTAACCTTTTTCCACTTTACCCAGTCTTAAAATTACTGACTTAATTTTAACTATTTAGTGGACTTCGGCATTATCTGATAGTGGAAGCGATACAAAAGCCCTAAATACTGCACTTTATGCACTCAAAAATGACAAATAAATAGGTTAGACAGAAAAACAATGGCTGGATAACATTGTAGTCAGAGAGTCTGAATTTAATAATAATGTCTTAAAATGGAATAAGGGATGAAATGATACATTCAGACTATACTCTTTCAGATCCTTGGGTATTTTATTTTGCATCTTGTCTTCTATCTAGAAGTGGTGGGATAAAGTAACAGTAAATTTAGCATGTTTGTTAAAAATGTAGAATTCAATTTTCACTCAAAAGTATTTTCATCCTTGGCCAAACAGTTTCCTTGGTAGATAGAAAGTAGCTAAAGTGGGCAGTTTTTATATTTAAAAAAGCTACAGATAATTTTAGATGACATGGCAAATATTTAAAAATACATTTTAGAAAGGAAATCAGTAAAAGCTACATTTGCGTGCAAAGCCAGGCATCCTTTGTCAAATTGTATGTTTCAGTGAATCACTAGGTAAAAGAAGGCGGCACACCCTCTACATGGTAGAAAGTTAAATACAACATCATTCTGCAAATTTGAATGCATGCTTACTATTTCTATACAGTTGTTTGCAGAGTCAAAATAAAGAAATAAAGAATAAGGCAGATGACGTTATTTTGCCTAGCCAGTTGCCAGACAAAAGTACTGTTTAAGTGAATAAATATTTTTTTTGAAAATACAATAAAACTCACCTCAAACTCTGTATGCTTCAAGTTATGATTCTTCTTTCTCACAGAGCTTAAAGAAATATGTGAATTGACAGGAATTGATCAGTCAGTTCTGGAAAGAGCTTTTAGCTTCCGCACTGTTGAAGCCAAGCAGGAGAAAGTATCTACAACTTTAAATGTAGCTCAGGTAATGCCAGATGATTACAGTAGTTTAACTGTCTAACTGTTTAATAAATTTATAGGCCGCCCAATCCCGAAGGACTCCCCCAGTAGTGAATCCCCCTCCCCCACTTTCAATAACAGGTGCTGCAAAAAAGCTTAGGCTAGTTTTTTTAAAAAAAACTTTCCCTAAAGTACATCTGCAGACCATGGGTGGCTGTTGGTTCTTACCACCTTGTGCTATACCAAAACCAGAAAATACTTTAATCTATCTTAAATGTTTCTTTCTTTTAACTAGGCTTATTATGCTCGGGATGCTCTGGCAAAGAATCTTTACAGTAGACTGTTTTGTTGGCTTGTTACCAGAATCAATGAAAGCATTAAGGTATAGTTCATCAAATGCAATAAAATTTAAATGACAGCACATAAAATAAATGGTCATCAGTTTTTGCATACAAGCAATATGTATATCAGGGTCTCCAACCTGTGGACCGTGGTCCACTACTGGACCATGGTCTAATCACCACTGGGCTGCATGAGTGGCCGGCGGGTGTGCATGCATCTGAGCGTGTACACAGCCCCACTTGTGCAAGTGTCGCTGCAGGTGGTTGCTGCCCCACTTGAATGTCATTCTGGGCGCTTGAGCCTTCACTCACGCAAGCCTTGTTGCGGGTGCTTATGGCCCCACTCGCGCATGTGTTGCCATGAACATTGCGGGCGCTTTCACAAATGCACCTGCACCTGCCCCTCCTACAAAATCATCCCCTCTTTCTCTGCTTCTCCCTGCTCCAGGGCATCAACTTGGAAAGGTTGGGGAACTCTGATGTGTGCCATATGATTTTTTTTTTAATTTACACTACTTTTTATTTATCTATCTTGCTGCCATCTATTATTAATCATGAAAATAATAACTTTTTCTACAGGCACAGTCCAAAGTAAGGAAGAAAGTAATGGGGGTTTTGGACATCTATGGCTTTGAAATTTTTGAGGTATTTTCTTTACTCCAAACTAATTTATTAGCAAAATACAATGTAGTTACTTGTTTGAACTCTCCATCTTCTAACTCAGCATACAATAGGTCAAGAATCAATTAACATAAGGGAAGAAGTCTCAGTAAATCATGACTGCTTAAACTGCCTGGGATGAAACACATTATTTTGATTAGATATACATTCAGATTAATTTTTTAAAAAATGGCAGAACAAAAACTGTTGCTAGCAATTTTGTTTGTATGGGGAAAAACATTTTTGAACTGATTTTAAATACTTGAGATTTAAGTTATATATTGAAGCTCATTTGCATTATAAGTCATGACCCTTTGTTCGTTCTTTTTTTTGGGGGGTGCAAAGAGATTAATTATTGCCAAGACATTTTGAAACACATAAATAATTGGCAAATTGTTTATTTTTTTTAATTGAAGAACCAGTCTCTTCAATAATTCCTCAGGTAGGTTTAGATATCTGTTGCCCACATCATGTTTGATTAGAAGCCACTCCTGGATAAAACTTTATACAAATAAGAATCATGTGACTTTATGAAAAAAAAAGATCTGTGTATTCAGAACAGATTATTATTTTTTACTAAGAGTACTGGGAGAAACGTAAGATAGCTACTGAGAGCATGCTAAATTCAGATCTGCAATGATTTTCTAATTAGTATATCTACATCTAGTGTAGGGTTATTATATTCATGATTTACATGATTAGACATGCACTTATAATTTATAAAATATAAAATATCTATTACAGACCTGAACATATAGAGTATTGATTTTTGAAATCAATGGTTTTATTTAGGGTGAATAAACACAACTTTGAAATATAGTTTTAGGTTTAAAAAAAGTTTAATAAAAGAAAAACTCTCATGAATGAAGTTGCTGGATTTTTTAAAAATTAATCTGTAAAACTATTTTTACAGATAGTTAATGATCATTACAGGGACTGGCAACTCTGATGCTAACCAAAGTGGACACAAAGCAAAAAAATAATATATTTCATAACCATGTTGTCAGCCCTCCCAGGTAAACCAAATAGAAAAGCTGACCAGATGAGCTAATTCTACTTTA